TTCCCATGTTCTTGTCTTTTTGTGCATTTCACTTCACCTACGCCACTGACTCCTCATTTGACCTCAGCAATCTCCTACCAGCTGTCTCTACCACATGGCTGTTGATTCTCTCCTTCCTTCAGTCTCCTCCACCTTTGACTCTTTACTGCACTTTCTCAAGACAATGTCTACCCTTCCAGTTCCCTGTACAAATCACACTCCTAGTCTCCTCTTCCTCCATTCCTCTCTTTTCATGCCCACTATTCTAGTCACCTGTGACTGACCCTTTCTATCACCTTTGGCTCACTTCCCCTGCCACTCCATCTCTATTTCTCTCTCTATGCAGAATCTCTCAGAGTTTTTCACGAAGCCAGCTGACAACTGCTCTGGGTCAGAATACAAGGGGCTTGGGGGGAAAGGGACCTAATAGTGGGGGTCTACTATAGGCCACCTAACTAGGGAGAAGAGCTGGACTGGGAATTCTCAGGTCAGCTTGCAGAGGCAGTTAAGTCAAGGGACGTGGTCATCACGGGTAACCTAAACTACCCAGACATCCCCTGGGAAGAGCAGTCAGCCAGGTCTGACCACTCATGTAGGTTCCTAGCTGAGTTACAGGACCTCCACTTAACTCAGGAGGTGCACAGTCCCACCAGGGGAAATGCCTTGTTGGACCTGGTCCTGGCCACAGGTGATGACCTGCTGAGGGGACTGTGGGTGCTCGACCACCTAAGTGATAGCGATCATCACCTACTGGAATTTACCATCCAGCGCAGGGTGTCAAAGGCCTGCAGCAAGGCAGAAGCCCTGGACTTCAGGAAGGCAGATTTCAATGAGGTAAGGAGACTGGTTGGGGAGGCACTGAGGTTCTGGAGGGGAGGGGAGGGGAGGGGAGTTGGGAGTCCAAGAAGAGTGGTTGTTCCTTAAGGAGATGATCCTCCAAGCCCAAAGCATGACAATCCCCACACGGATCAAAGGGGGCAAGAGTGCTGACCATGGCTCACCAAAAGCATCCACGAATGCCTCAAAGCCAAAAGGGAGGCGTACACCCAATGGAAGGGAGGGGCCATCACCAAGGAGGATTATACCTCCTTGGCTCGAGATTGTAGGGGGGCTATCAGGAAGGCTAAGGCAGAGATGGAACTGGGACTAGCGACCCAGATCAAAGATAACAAGAAGTCAAATAATGTGGGGCCTCTGCAGGACATGCTTGGTAATCTCATGGTAGGACCAGATGACAAAGCTCATGTCTTTAACAGATTCTTTGTTTCCATTTTTCTGAGCAGGAAAAGGGACATCTCCCCCACTGGGAATCTGGGTGGTCCCAGGGGAGGCACAGCCAGGCCCAGGGTCAGTGAGGATCTAGTTAGGGAACTTCTGGAGGGACTGGATTTATTCAAATCAGCAGGTCCTGATGATCTCCACCCCAGAGTGCTTAGAGAATTGGCAGAGGTCATTGCAGGACCCCTGGCACAGCTTTACGAGCACTCCTGGTGCTTTGGTGAGGTGCCTGATGACTGGAAAAGGGCCAATGTGGTTCCCGTTTTCAAAAAAGGGAGGAAAAAGGACCCAGGAAACTATAGGTCTGTTAATCTTATCTTGGTCCTGGGGAAGCTCTTTGAGAAAATTATCCAGGAGCACATCTGTGAGGGGCCAGCAGGGGAATTTATGCTTAGGGGCAATCAACATGGGTTCATTCGAGGCAGGTCCTGTAAGACCAACCTGGTGGCCTTCTATGACCAGGTAACAAAAGCCTTGGATGCAGGTGTCGCAGTGGATGTAGTCTTCCTGGACTTTAGGAAGGCCTTCGACACTGTCTCTCACCCCATCCTCATTAAAAAATTAGGCATCTGTGGTGTTGATTTCTACACAGTCAGATGGGTCATAAATTGGCTGGACGGCCGCACCCAGAGGGTGTTGGTGGATGGGTCATTTTCGACCTGGAGAGATGTGGGCAGTGGGGTTCCCCAGGGCTTGGTCCTCAGGCCTGCACTGTTCAATATCTACATTGGTGATTTGAATGAGGGGGTGAAAAGCACCTTGTTCAAGTTTACAGATGACACGAAGATGTGGGGAGAAGTGAGCACGCTAGAAGAGAGAGACAGGCTACAACTAGATCTCGACAGGTTACGGAGGTGGGAGGATGAGAATAGGATGGGTTTCAATATGGACAAGTGCAAGGTGTTGCACCTGGGGAGGAAGAACCAGCAGCATACCTACAGGCTGGGGAACTCCCTTCTTGTCAGCACAGACGCAGAGAAAGATCTTGGAATCACTATTGATTCCAAGATGAACATGGGCAGACAATGTGGGGATGCAGGCAGGAAGGCTAACCACACTTTTTCATGCATCCATAGATGCATCACAAGTACGTCCAAGGAGGTGATCCTTCCCCTCTATGCGACATTGGTCAGGCTGCAGTTGGAGTACTGCATCCAGTTCTGGGCACCGCACTTCAGGAGGGATGTGGCCAGCATCGAGAGGGTCCAGAGGAGGGCCACTCGCATGATTAGGGGGCAGCAGGGCAGGCCCTATGAGGAGAGGCTACGAGACCTGAACCTGTTCAGCCTCCACAAGAGAAGGCTGAGAGGGGATCTGGTGGCCACCTATAAAGTTGCCAAGGGGGACCAGCAGGCAATGGGAGAGTCCCTGTTCCCCTGAGCACTACCAGGGGTAACAAGGAACAACGGCTGTAAGTTGACTGAGAGTAGATTCAGGCTAGATATCAGAAGGCATTACTTCACAGTCAGGGCGGCTAGGATCTGGAACCAACTTCCAAGGGAAGTGGTTCTCGCCCCTACACTTGGGGTCTTCAAAAGGAGGCTAGACAGCCACCTAGCTGGGGTCATTTGACCCTACCATCCTTTCCTGCCCATAGCAGGGGGTCGGACTAGATGATCTTCTTAGGTCCCTTCTGACCCTACCAACTATGAAACTATGAAACATAGTACATGACCTTCTCCTTCCCCTCTCTTGGCTTTACCGCCCCATACCCATCTCTTCTGCCTTTCTTATTATGGATGACAAAAAAATCTCATTTGTTTCACCCCTTTAATCCTCTCTTCCCCTTTCTTGTCTTTCCATTACTTACCCTTCTTCTCCTTAAATTCTCTTTCCTGTTTCTATCTACTCATAAACATATTTCAGTCTCCCCTATCTTTAAAAAAATACAGCTCATAAACATACTCAGAAACATATTTCAGTCATACTCATAAATATGCTCATACTCATAAACATATTTCAGTCTCTCCTATCTTTAAAAAAATACATCAGTCATGCAGTGGTTTCACTGAGATCACTACTTATCATACTGAATAGTACTATGTCAATAAGAATATACTGCAAAGTTTAACCTTTCAAATTAAGCCAATGCATAGATCAATGTATACCACTTTATCTGAGTTTCATTTGGTGCACTGGAAAAATGACTATCAATGATCTTTTTCACGGTTCTTCTACTCTCTCTGCCTCTGTGGTTTACAGTGAAAATCTACACATCCCCTGCTTCAGAGCTGGGTAGATGACAGGCACTCTGGCCCTATCTTGCTGATTCAGCATATATTAACATACCTTCCCTGCTGGGGGTGGGGGAATTTAGAGAGGGCATCTATGCTATGCTAGAAAACATTCCTCAGCAGTCCATTAAGGGAAGATTTTCAATTTCTTTCACCAATGAAACCATACAAAGGCTCTATAGAATGGCAAACTCACAGTCTTCTTATCTGTGAAAGTGGATTCAAGGAAAAAATATTTAAAGCCAGTTGTTTAGGCTCACATCCTATGCTGCTGAGTAATTTCTTTTTAGCTTCTAAGATATCCATGCTAATACTGTTACATGTTTAAGTACCTTTCAACATTACTGATCATCAGGGGTCCTGGTTTTCTCTGATTAAAAAAATCCCCAATTTTTGGTTAAAAAAAGTAACCCCAAATCCACATTTTTCCATGATTTAAATGAAGTGTTTCATATCTATAAAATATCTATAATATTAGCTGTGTTTCATCTAAATCATGGAAAATGTGGATTTGGGGTTACTTTTTTTTTTAATTGAAAATTGAGGATTTTTTTAAAGCAGAGAAAACCAGGATCCCTGCTGATCATTACTGATTAAATTGAGACATACTAGGGATGAACAAAATCAAAGTAAACTGTCTTGGATGATGATTTTTGGTATATCACAACAAATCATGCCAGGCATCTCACAGTCTTCACAAGGTTCAATTCTGGGTTCTTCCAAGTCAAGATGTATGTAAAGACAAGAGATCTCAATGCAATATGGTCCTTAATACACGGTCAGGAACACACCCTTGATATCCAGATCTGTATATCCTTCTCATCAAATACTGGGAGAACCCTGACTTATTTGTGCCAGAAATGAGTGAAGAGCATGTGGATAAAGAGGCCCTCACCAGAACTTAACACAAGCAAGGTAGAAGTGAAGTTGGTAGAAAGGTGGAAATGATATCAAATAAATATCTGGAGCTAAGACCTCAACTTTCATCAAAGGCATCTGTTTTCTGTTTGTATAAATCTCAAGACCCTGCTGGACTCACTTTTCCTAGTTTTTCTGTATAAGGCAGATCTAGGCACAGAGGCCTATGCATTTGCCACCCTGAAACTCAGCTTTAGAAGCATCTCTTTAAAATATATTGGAAACAAAAGGCACTCCCTGCCAATGGTGTTTGTCCATTACTCAAAACCTGAGCTGTGTAAAGATTTTGCGTTGAAAATATAAGCTATGCCAAAACCCCCAAATCAAACCAGACCTGCCTGTTCAGGAATTCATTATTTGAGTTTGAAGAGCAGATGAATGTTTCTTTTATTCCTGTATATCTTTGTCCTTTGAGCACCAACCTTCCTGCCTTGTACAGTCTGAAATCTCCCCTGGTGCATGCAGTTGCTTATGCTTCCCCACGCTTCTTCAAAATGCCCAATTGCTCTCCCAAAGTAATTTATTCATGTGTCCTTTCAACAGATTTCTCTGAAAATAATGACATACTTAGCATTGTATCCAACTACTTACATGAACTGCCTTTTGGGCCTGGGGGGCCAGGGAATCCTTTTGGTCCAGGCTGACCAGGAAAGCCAGGTATCCCTGGCTGAAAAGCTGAAAAACCTGGTTCTCCCTTATAACCTTTGGGTCCCATTTCTCCAGGTAAACCTCTTTTGTCCAAGTCATCTAAAATGGGAAGAAAGTCCCCAAGAAAATGAGAATGATTCCTCAAGGACAGTGCTTGGATAAAAATGACAGATCTGTTAAATAATAGGGGGAAATGAATGTAACTACTTTCCATGAGGAAATGATGTAGCCATTAGATAAACACAATGTGTTGATGTCACAGAATCATAGCAAGGTTTGACTGAAAGGGGCCTCTAGAGGTCATGTAATCCAAGATCCCGCCTGACAGTCCCAAACAGGAGCCACACAATCCTTTTCTAATCTATTAGTAAAACCATACAATCAAACCCTGTCACATAACTATAAGGCAAAGCACCCTAACCTGTCACAGGTAAAACAAAGGGACAACAGTGGTTAGTGTCCTGCTGCAGCAAGGATTTTTAACAAGTTCAAGAGATCCAAGGAAGAGGGCTTTGCTCCCACAGTCCATGCCAGTTTGACCATAGGACAGAATTGCTTCCTGACTCCAAATGTGGCAAATGGTCTGACACTGAGGGAAGGGATAAGACCCTGTAGCCAGGAACCTCCAGGTTTTAGTCCCAGCAGGTGCATTGGCACACACCATTCACAATCTCCAACCTTAGCTGCAGTCAACAAGCAATGCTTCTGAGGAAGACACCTTCTCCCCCTGATGCTTGTAGCCATAGGAACGGAAAAAAATTCTTTCCTGGCCCCATGTTGCAGCCAGCAAAGCTGAGAAGTATGGGAAATACTGCATGTCCTCCATTTTGCTCTACAATATTGTTACCCTGGTGGTACAATTCCCTACCCTGGAAATCTCAAGAGGAGACTAAAGTCACCTTGCTGGAGTCACCTGACCCCCAGTTATCTTTTCTGCTTGGTGCAGGGGGCTGGACCCGATGATTTTCCAAGGTCCCTTCCGGTCTTACAATCTGTGAATCTATTAATCTATCCCTTTTGCAAGACTTGGTAAAAGTTATGTCAGAAATCAATGACAGAATCAGGAATGGACCTTCATCTTCCAGTTCCCAGTATAGTTTCCAGCATATCACACTCCATATTCCCCCATCTACATGGCTGTATCTTATCCACACATTGTCCCCTTCCTGCAATAATGCTGATTAAAATTGCAATACAGTGGATTGCTACACAAGTCCATATTTAGATCATTAAATGGCAAAATATTACCAAGCCCATCCAATGTTTCAGGCCAACCAGGAATTCCAGGATCTCCTTTTTCCCCCAACTCTCCTCTAGGCCCATGGAAACCTGGTACTCCTGGGTCACCTCTGACACCTGTAAAATGCATCCCCCATACCCAAGAATACAGGTAAATCTATTGGTAAACACAATTGTTCAGACAATAAATGTACATTTAAGCAAACAAGTGCAGTATTAGACCTATTGGATGCCATTAGCCTCTACATTGGAAACATCTCAGAGCTGTCCCAGAAAACATCAGTGTAATTACAGAAGTATCTAAACCCCCAAAATATACTTCTATGAGCACATTATTTTGGGGTTCAAACATAATCCATGTCAAAAGTGCAAAAGAGCAGCTGTGTGCTAAAGAGATCAGAACTGCTCTGGGAAAACCCAAGCAGACCTATGTCACTGCATCCCCTCATAGGAGCTGTGCTTCACACTAGGGGTGTGCAAAATGGGCCATATTTGATTCGGATTCAACCTGAATCAGGGACAGTGATTTGATTTGTTGATTCAGATCACGTTCCCTGATTCAATTTGGCTGAATCCGAATCTGAAGATTCGACGCTGATTTGGCCATAGACACAGCTTTAAATGTTTTTTCTACATATCTCAAAGTACCAGGCACAGCTCGTGAATGCTGTGATGCTGGGGCGCATGAAGTGTCTCACAGGAGCGTGAGGGGCCCCCCCGCATTTTCAGCAGCGAATCTGGAAGTGGACTGGAAGTACTTCTGGTCTATATCCAGGTCTGCCGGGAAGCATGCAGGGAGCGCCCTGCCCGGCTCAGCAATCAGCCATGGGGGAACCCCGGGTGCACCCACAGACCCAGGAGACACCAGTCACTGAGCTGGGAGGGACACAGAGGGCCCCACTGCATGGTCCCCAGTGGACCCGGAAGTGGACCAGAAGTGCTTCTGGTCCATTTCCAGGTCTGCTGCCAAGTGCACTGGGGAGCCCCCTTGCTCCTGTGGGACAGTCCATCCGTCCCAGCATTGTAGCATTCACGAGCCGCTTGGTACCTTGAGGTATGTAGAAAAAACATTTAAAGCTGTGTCTGTGTCTGAATCACCGAATTGTTCTGAACCTCTCCAAAATGATTCGGAAAAGGGTCTCCTGATTCAATCTGGATTTGGAGATTCGGCTACCAAATCAGGCTGAATCTCTGCTGAATTGAATCAGGGACTGAAGCTTTGCACAGCCCTACTTCATACCCCACCTTCTCTGTGGAAGATCCCTCTACTTGCTGGGGCTCTAACAGGCATGTGGCATGGTGCTCCTTTCTTGCAAAGGTCTTCATTTATGCCCAGCTGTTATATTTGCTTTCTGTCTAAGCTTCATTTGGCTAGACAGGGCAAAATGCATATCGAGTCTGTTTGCCTATTCTTCCACCTTGCATAGTTTCTGTAACTGTCCACTATGTGGAGTTTGAAGGAAGGTGGGAGCCTATGCCACAGAGTTGCTTTCTTTTGTTGGGGAGAGAGAGCCATGTACACATAGAGGGGACTTTCTATATGTATTTCTTGGATGACCACTGTAAATATCTCATGGTTTTAGGCCCATATACTGTAAACAGTGAAAAGTTCACAATATGAACTTGTCAGTGGAAAGGCAAAACCTTCTTTTTTAACTGAATGTTAAATTAATTGAAACAGAACTCCCCTTATTTGCAAGGCCTTGTAAAAATGTGGAGATGACATCTGACAAATCAAAAACATTTCCATTCTACCATAGTAAAAATATGGCTCTGTGATGGATGTGAACAAGACAGACTTGAGGAATGAGTCTTCAGAAAAACTGGAACACGTGAAAAAGCTTTAAGGCTATTGTGTTTTTCTAAATGCAAAAATTATTTATAGGATCGACCTTGAATTTTAATAAGTTTTCCTTCTTTTCATTGGTGTTTTACCACAGGTTAGTTAAGAGTTTTGTCCTTTGCGAGGGCAAGGCTCAAGGTGAAGGAGGGGTTGGGTTCCTGAAAATGAGATGACTTAAAACTCTTAGGATTCATGCCTGAGTTGTGTAATACATTAACAGACCAGACTTATTAAGGGATCAGAGTTCTCAGGTGTCTTGCTTTTGCTATGTTTGGAAAGTGGTAAAACAGGTATACACTAGCAGCAACAGAAGTATTCCAAGCAAAGAAGACATACCTTTTCTTGGAATGGGATAAGGAACGTAAGTAGGCAATCCTTGGATACCCCTTTCTCCCTGCTCTCCCTATATGAATAAAAGAACACCGAGACATTAGCTATTAATTGGGATATTATCTATCACATTTAGAAGAAAGAGGGGTGAATATATTTTTAAATTCAGTGTATGGGCTGGAAGCATAACCAGTCAGATTTTTCATAGTTTCATAGTTTCATAGCTTCTAGGGTCGGAAGG